TAAAGAATTTTTAACAAGGACCTTTAGACCAATAAACGTGGATTTTTTAAAGAATTTTTAACAAGGACCAAAAGACCAATAAACGTGGATTTTTTAAAGAATTTTTAACAAGGACCTTTAGACCAATAAACGTGGATTTTTTAAAGAAGGACCAAGGACCAAAAGACCAATAAACGTGGATTTTTTAAAGAATTTTTAACAAGGACCAAAAGACCAATAAACGTGGATTTTTTAAAGAATTTTTAACAAGGACCAAAAGACCAATAAACGTGGATTTTTTAAAGAATTTTTAACAAGGACCAAAAGACCAATAAACGTGGATTTTTTAAAGAATTTTTAACAAGGACCTTTAGACCAATAAACGTGGATTTTTTAAAGAATTTTAACAAGGACCTTTAGACCAATAAACGTGGATTTTTTAAAGAATTTTTAACAAGGACCTTTAGACCAATAAACGTGGATTTTTTAAAGAATTTTTAACAAGGACCTTTAGACCAATAAACGTGGATTTTTTAAAGAATTTTTAACAAGGACCTTTAGACCAATAAACGTGGATTTTTTAAAGAATTTTTAACAAGGACCTTTAGACCAATAAACGTGGATTTTTTAAAGAATTTTTAACAAGGACCTTTAGACCAATAAACGTGGATTTTTTAAAGAATTTTTAACAAGGACCTTTAGACCAATAAACGTGGATTTTTTAAAGAATTTTTAACAAGGACCTTTAGACCAATAAACGTGGATTTTTTAAAGAATTTTTAACAAGGACCTTTAGACCAATAAACGTGGATTTTTTAAAGAATTTTTAACAAGGACCTTTAGACCAATAAACGTGGATTTTTTAAAGAATTTTTAACAAGGACCTTTAGACCAATAAACGTGGATTTTTTAAAGAATTTTTAACAAGGACCTTTAGACCAATAAACGTGGATTTTTTAAAGAATTTTTAACAAGGACCTTTAGACCAATAAACGTGGATTTTTTAAAGAATTTTTAACAAGGACCTTTAGACCAATAAACGTGGATTTTTTAAAGAATTTTTAACAAGGACCTTTAGACCAATAAACGTGGATTTTTAAAGAATTTTTAACAAGGACCTTTAGACCAATAAACGTGGATTTTTTAAAGAATTTTTAACAATAAACGTGGATTTTTTAAAGAATTTTTAACAATAAACGTGGATTTTTTAAAGAATTTTTAACAAGGACCTTTAGACCAATAAACGTGGATTTTTTAAAGAATTTTTAACAATAAACGTGGATTTTTTTAAAGAATTTTTAACAATAAACGTGGATTTTTTAAAGAATTTTTAACAATAAACGTGGATTTTTTAAAGAATTTTTAACAAGGACCTTTAGACCAATAAACGTGGATTTTTTAAAGAATTTTTAACAATAAACGTGGATTTTTTAAAGAATTTTTAACAATAAACGTGGATTTTTTAAAGAATTTTTAACAAGGACCTTTAGACCAATAACGTGGATTTTTTAAAGAATTTTTAACAATAAACGTGGATTTTTTAAAGAATTTTTAACAATAAACGTGGATTTTTTAAAGAATTTTTAACAAGGACCTTTAGACCAATAAACGTGGATTTTTAAAGAATTTTTAACAATAACGTGGATTTTTTAAAGAATTTTTAACAATAAACGTGGATTTTTTAAAGAATTTTTAACAATAAACGTGGATTTTTTAAAGAATTTTTAACAAGGACCTTTAGACCAATAACGTGGATTTTTTAAAGAATTTTTAACAATAAACGTGGATTTTTTAAAGAATTTTTAACAAGGACCTTTAGACCAATAAACGTGGATTTTTTAAAGAATTTTTAACAATAAACGTGGATTTTTTAAAGAATTTTTAATAATAAACGTGGATTTTTTAAAGAATTTTTAACAAGGACCTTTAGACCAATAAACGTGGATTTTTTAAAGAATTTTTAACAATAAACGTGGATTTTTTAAAGAATTTTTAACAATAAACGTGGATTTTTTAAAGAATTTTTAACAAGGACCTTTAGACCAATAAACGTGGATTTTTAAAGAATTTTTAACAATAAACGTGGATTTTTTAAAGAATTTTTAACAATAAACGTGGATTTTTTAAAGAATTTTTAACAATAAACGTGGATTTTTTAAAGAATTTTTAACAATAAACGTGGATTTTTTAAAGAATTTTTAACAATAAACGTGGATTTTTTAAAGAATTTTTAACAATAAACGTGGATTTTTTAAAGAATTTTTAACAATAAACGTGGATTTTTTAAAGAATTTTTAACAATAAACGTGGATTTTTTAAAGAATTTTTAACAATAAACGTGGATAGTAGTGTGCTTATGGGGATGTTGGGAATTCACCACGATTTATCACGGCAAATTCTATTGGGGATGTTGATTTGGGTAAATTCACCACGGTGAATTTTAATGGGGATGTTGTCTTGGGAATTGTACCACGGCAAATTCTATTGGGGATGTTGATTAGGGTAAATTCTCCACGGTGAAATATATTGGGGATGTTGTCTTGGGAATTGTACCACGGCAAATTCTATTGGGGATGTTGATTGGGGGAAATTCAGCACGGTGAAATATATTGGGGATGTTGTCTTTTGAAATGTACCACGGTGAAATATATTGGGGATGTTGTCTTTTGAAATGTACCACGGTGAATTATATTGGGGATGTTGTCGTTTGAATTGTACCACGGCAAATTATATTGGGGATGTTGTCTTTTGAATTGTACCACGTCAAATTTTATTGGGGCTGTTGGCGTTGGCGTTGCTAGTTTTAATATGAACTACTAGATGGCGCTAAGTTTAGCGCAGACACAATCCAAAACTGTGTATGGGATGGTGAAATTTCAAGTTTTAATATTCACCACTAGCAGAGACACCCTCCGAAAAAAAAAATGTATTATGATCATATCGAGTGGGGCTAAAGAGATTCAACATGTGAGAAGTGAATATAGCAGAAACACATCTGAAAGAGGTAAGTATCGAAGAAAATCATTTTATCTAGATGGCTCTCAGAATGCTTTTACATAGTCAACATGCTGATTACTGCAGTCAAATGTGCTTATTAATTTATTTGAAAACATATATTTCAAGAAATCGACTTCAATAAATGTGATATATTATAGAAGAGTTTCAATTGACAAATATGCTGCAATTATTGATATTTCAGGGGTTTTAATTTCAGCATAGATGAAAATATAAATGAAAATATAGACAAAGAAATGACATCGAAAAATTCCGGAATAATCAAGTGAAATTCTTGAAAAACGATAACGAAGTCGAGTGGGTTGAACACGAAAATCAGCATGTTGGCTATGCAAAACATGATGAGATAAAAAGACAAAACTAACTTTTCGTTGTACTTGTTTTAATTTGTCTATAATTTTAGCGACTCAAAAATGTTCAGTTATTCCCATCGAAACGATATAGGCGACATCTAACGGTGAGTTCTATCTATACTATCCATAAATTATGTTGTAGCATAGACACACTCCAAAACTATTGAAATATGATCATATCAAATGGGATTAGAGAGATCCACCATATGAGAAGTGAATATAGCAGAGACAAATTTGGTTAGTATCATAGTCAACAAGAAGATGTGTGTTCTATTATTTTGTCCAGATGGCTCTCCAGTCATTTCCCTCGAAACGATATAGGCGACATCTAACCACCAATTAATGTTGTAGCATATACACACTAAAAAAATGCTGCTGTAGCCAATCAAAGCAAATTCTTCTTGTGTGGACAGGCATTTTGGTACATTATATCGATCGCTTTTTGATAGTTTTGTCGATGAAGAATTTGTTTACATTATGTAGCAATTTGAGAGAATTGAAACTGAAAGAGTTTCATGACAAACCCTGCATCAATTCGGTATTGAAGATTGAAGGGATTTGAAGAAGGAAACACCATTGTTTACATTAACTAACAATTGGATTTCTGTGAAATGGATATGAGAATTTGGGGGGAAGCGTTGTTGCAGAGTTTCATGACAAATTCTGCTTCAATCATAGAATTTCTATTTGTTTACAAAATGTAGTCAATAATGTATTGATTGGATTGGAAGAAATTTCAGTACTCAACAAGTCACAGATTAATAAGCATCGTTTCTTAATATTTTTAAAAAAGTTTTTATAATGTCTCAAAAAATTTGTTGGTCATGCAGCCTTTATTTCAAGGAAAAAAGTGAATTTGTGAAACATATGAAAAAGCATTGTATGTTTTGTGATGTTTTATGTGAAAGTGTAAACGATTTAGAATTGCACTTAGAGAACCATCATGGAGATGAGCATGTAATAAAACAAAATCGGGATCAACAACAAGAAAAACTAAAGCAGCAGCATGAAAATAAATCAGCTGTGAAGGTGGAAAAGTTTTGTGGTGATTGTGATAAAATTGTGAATAATATACGATCACACGTTCGTAGCGAAGAACATCGATCCACCGTGAGAAAAAATCTGGATTCTGACATAAAAATTGTTAAAAGTGCATTTAACAAAAATATACTCAGCTATGAGATACAAAACAATAAAGACATTTTGTACCCGATCGATTTTCTTAATGCTTCAAAAGAATTAATAATTAAAACCTTAAAAAATGAGTTAAACGGTAAAACGCTCATAAAATTTAATATGGAACTCCAAGGACTATATGTGAAACCAAACAATGAAAAAGATGGACCTTCAACTTCCAAAGAGTTAACTATTGAAAATATATTTAATCATATTTCAAAAACAACGCTATTAACCCTGGGAGATGATTTGGAAGAGGTCGTTTTCAACCACTGTGTGGAAATTATAGCTAAATCAGAAGAGTTCCAAGAAAGAGGCTCTAATTGGGCCCTGGAGAAACTTTTAAAACTTGACATAAATGTGTTGAGAGCCAACTTAACACGTGGCTCACATTATATTCCAACTCCGAAATCATTAAGCAACAAGAAGGGTGCGTGCCTTAACATCAAAACTATGATGACTTTTGTTTTAAGTGGTGTATGGTTGTTGCATTGGGGGAAACTGCATATGGAGATCCGAGTATAACCTCTTCATATAACGTAGACATACACCAAGATGTCATTATTCTGCAGTCTGGAATATCGCTAAATTTCGAACAATTAAATTTCCCATTGGGTCTTAAATATATAAAAAAATTTGAAATGAACAACCCAGAGATTAGCGTAAATGTTTTCGGTTATGAAAACAAGTCGGTCGTTGGTCCATATTACTTAACAAAGGAGACGAAAAGCAATCACATTAATTTAATATTGCTGCACAACGAAGAAAATTTCCATTACATTTTGGTTATGGATATGTCTTGGTAATTATAAACAAAACTTATCAATCAAAACCATATCATAATAATCATGTATTTGTTCTTTTTTTTTCAGTCTTATGCGGTCTCAATTCACAAGTCATAAGGAGAAAGGTTACTTTTGTTTTGGATGCCTGCAATGTTTCCACGATGAAAATAAATGTATGACTCACAAAAAGCAGTGTGGAAAAGTAGTCTGTGCCCTGCCGAACAAAAAAGAAGCCGTACTAAAGTTCGTCAATCACAAGAAAAAGGATAAGGTGCCTTTCGTTATTTATGCTGACTCCGAAAGTGTACTGGAAGACGTGCAGGAAGATGAGAACAATGGGGCGAGTAAAAAAACGGAAAAGGTAAAGAAGCATATTCCATGTGCTTTTAGTTATTTTATTAAATGTAGTTTTAATGAAAATTTAAATAAGTTATTTATATATAGTGGTCCCGACGCAGCAAATGTTTTTCTGAAAGAACTAATTCAGGATTGTAAATTTTTGTATGATAGTTACCTAACCAAAACGAAACCTATGAATACTCTAACCCCCGAAGAAGAGACAGCCTTTCTTAGGGATATCAATTGTCGTATATGTGGCGACATTTTAGGTAACGATAGGGTGAAAGATCATTGTCACTTAACGGGGCAATATCGAGGTGCGGTACATAACCATTGCAATCTGCAATATCATCTACCTAAATTTATTCCAATATATTTCCACAATTTTTCTTCGTACGACTGTCACCTCTTCTTTAAAGAGTTAGTTGAATTTGGAGGTGAAATAAGAGTCATACCTCAAAACAAAGAAAAATATATTTCAATGTCTTATTTCATTAATATGGATAACGAGTCAACCGACTCTAGTTCTTTAAAAAGTACAGTTGTTGTAGGAGAAGAAGAAGATTCGAGTGAGGAAGATGATGAGGAATTCCAGCAAGAAGAGGAAAGTGAGGGCAAAAAAGAGAAGAAAAAGAAAATGAATAGATTAGAGCATCGTTTCTTAGATAGTTTTCGATTTATGCCTACTAGTTTGGATAAATTAGCAAGGAATTTATCTCGAGATTCTTTTGTTGCTGTCAGATCTCATTTTCCTGATGATGAATCATTTGAACTTATGACTAGGAAAGGAGTATTTCCCTACGAATATATGTCATCATTTGAAAAATTGAAGGAGAAACAACTTCCCCCTATAGACCAATTTTATAATAAGTTGACCGATACTGAATGCTCGTCAGACGATTATAGGCATGCAACAAATGTTTGGTCACATTTTCGATGTCAAACTATGCAAGACTACATGGATTTGTACTTAAAAGCTGATGTCTTGCTTTTAGCAGACGTATTTGAAAATTTCAGGAGCTTATGTATGCGAATTCACGAACTGGACCCTTGTCAATATCTCACAGCACCATCTCTATCTTGGGATGCAATGCTACTATGTACTAAAGTCGAACTTGAGCTACTCAGAGATATAGACATGTACAATTTCTGCAAAAATGGTATTCGGGGAGGGCTTACCCAGTGCTCAAACAGACACTCGGTAGCAAATAATGAAGATGCTCCCAATTATAATAGTGCCAAACCAGAGGTAAATATCTATTATTTGGATGTAAATAATTTATATGGTACAGTTATGACTGAGTGTCTCCCTGAAAAAGATTTTAGATGGGTGGAGGGTTATGAAATGGAGAAATTCAATGATCCAGCTGTAATATTATCTATTCCTGACAACGCTCCTACTGGTTTTATTTTAGAGGTTGATATTGAATATCCACCGCACCTTCACGACAAACATAACGATTTACCTTTTTTGGCGGAGAAAAAGTGTGTTGAAGGCTCAAAAACTGAAAAACTGATTGCAGATTTTACTGACAAAACATCATACACCATACACTACAAATTACTTAAGCAATCTCTGAAACATGGACTAATTCTTAAGAAAGTCCATAGAGTTTTGGCTTTCACACAAAGCGCTTGGTTAGCTCCTTACATACTGAAGAATAATGAACATAGGGAAAAGGCTGAAAATGCCTTTGAAAAAGATTTTTTTAAATTATTGAATAACTCTTCATTCGGTAAGACAATGGAGAATATCGACAAAAGAAAAACTGTGAAAATTGTGACAATGTGGGTAGATGAGGCAAACCAAAGAAGAAGGAATGTTGCTAGTAAATTAATCTCGAAGCCAAATTTTCACAGCCTTTCGATATTCTCCGAAAATATGGTTGCTATTCAAATTAGGAATGTCAGAGTAAAATATGATAGACCATTGTACTTAGGGTTCTGCATATTAGATTTATCAAAGTGGGTGATGTATGATTTTCTGTATGATTTTCTAAAAGTGAAATTTGGTGAGGATTTTATTCTAAATTATATGGATACAGATTCGTTCATATTAACATTTTACGGACGGAATTTGTATTCCGAATTATCTTTAGATGAAATATTGGCTAGATTTGACACCTCAGGGTTTTCAAAAGAAAATAAATATAAACTTCCTCTAATTAATAAGAAAAAACTTGGCATGATGAAAGATGAGAATGACGGAAAAACAATGGTTGAATTTGTAGGCCTTCGTCCTAAAATGTATGCCATCAATGTAGTTGATAGCGAAGAATTAAAAAAATCTAAGGGAGTTAAAAAGTCGGTCCTAAAAAAGTATACTATAGATAAATATCGAGAATGTCTTTATAACAAAAAGGTTTTTTACGGTACCATGTTTTCGTTTAGGTCAAGGCAGCATACAATATATACAGACAAAATTACTAAAATATCGCTAAGCCATCAAGATGATAAACGATTTATTCTAGAGGATGGTATTCACACCTATGCTTGGGGCCACTATAGATTAAATAACCTTCATGAAACAAATGTAAATAACTCAAATGAATCTGTCTCAATGGACTTGGATTAAAATATAAATTTAATTATGATTTAAGTTTCAATATACAGATAAAAGAGCATAGTAATAATATTAATTTAATTGTCTTTATTCACTACAAATGTCATCATATTAATATTTTCTCGCAACACAAAATGTTTAATTTTTAAGTAAATATAAGTGTATTATATTTTAACTAGTCTTTAACTATTCTTATTATAAAATAAAACAAAATATTTTTGTTTATAAATTTATGTAAATTGCGTTTTATTGAAATATTCTTGCAAAGGTGAGTATAAAATAGATTATACTACTTTTCGTACAATTCCTGTTAATGGAACGTACTCGACCAGACGATCATGTATAATTAAACAGTACGCAGAAGTGTTTTGTGGAATTGGTTTATTGGTTTCAAATTGGATTTTTAAATCGATTGGTCCATTCTTAACAGCTTCGTTTTGATTGCTAATGTCAATAACGGCGATGGGCTTGTCTTTAAAACTTGCATATGTAAGAAGTGGTTGTGGCTCCCTCATGTAATATGATTGTTGAAACTTTGTATACATGTCATATAGTACTGCATAGCCATTTTCTTCGAACTTTACATTCAAATCATCGTAAGGATAGGTTTCAGAGTTCAAGTGAACTTTGATGTTTTTAAGTTCGCAATGTTCCAGCTTGTTGTCTTTTTCAAATATCAAAGCAACATATCGTGGTCTTTCATGATTGACAGACAATTTAACACTCCAACTGTGTTGTCTTCCACCAGCAAAAGTTGGATTAAAGTAGCAGTCCCAGCTGCGGAATGCTAAAGGCAACGCTTTTCCATCCTTAATAGTTTTCAAGAAGCTGATTTTTCTATAGTCTGATAATTGAATGTGTTGTACTTTCCATACAACATTTGTTATGGTGAGTTTAATTTCCTCCGTATCCATGGTTGAATAACACACATTTTTATCGTTGGCACTACGCAAAAGAATCAAGTCATGCTTGCTGTTGCAAATTACTTTATCAAAGTCCTCTGCGAACCCTAGTAGACGGTTTAAGGGTACACAAAAATTAAAGTATCCTACTGATAAATCATTATCAGCTTTCCATCCCGCTTTGCTCATAACCTTACTTTCGGATTCGCTTAGAGAAATCCAATTTTTAATTTCTGTAGTTATTCCTAGATAACGAGTACGATCAATTTCAACACCATTTAGTTCATAGCGAATTTCATCAAACATGTATCCCACACAATTATTTCTCAGTCTTGCATTTTGCGATACTTCTCCCTTGCTATTTTTCAAATTTCCTTCAATGAATAGATAACTCTCCGATGGAAGTATGTAAAGATCCTGATTTTGTATACTTATCCGAATTTCATCATTATTTTTAAATGATTGAATATATGGAACATAGCTGTGGTAGTCTCTCTTTACAATATTCTCATCCGAGAATGGACGCTCATTAATGTTAAGTATTTCAGACATTTGGTTTGACTTTAAGCTTAATAAGTTTTAAAAACTCTTTATTTTCCTTTGAAATTGTAGGTCTTGTCGGTTTGACAACTTTGTGTTGAATGTGTCTTGGTATTTGTTTATGATTGTATTTATTGTAGATAATCATGATTGCATTGGTCTTATATGAATACGTAGCGTGATTTCTTCCTCTCTAAAATTTATAAAGCGACCTTCTTGATCTACTATCTTTATCTCCAGACGACCGATTTCTTTGACGTTCACTGGTAAATAAATGAGATTCATTGGCCTCTCTACCAATTTATATCCCGGAGGAACATTAAGAGCAAATTCATGTAGAATATGCGTTGGCGACCCATTCATGAATGATCCAGTTACAATATTGCAGTGTATTTGTATGGCATTAACCTTTAAAATGTCGACTTGAAGGTTTGAAGTATGTTTTTTCCCAGATTCTAAGATTTTTTCGGTAAAACCAAAAAGCTTGCCTATAGATTTTTCTTTATCAAAGTAAATAGGATCATGAGAAGACATGATTTCTACTTTTAGCGTATTATTATTCGCCTTAATTTCAATGGATCTATTCTCGTGGATAGTTTTATATTCCGTTTCCAAGTAATTCGCAATATCTTGCAATTCATAGGATCCTATAGGTATTTTTATAATATTGTCTCCAATGTGAAAGAGATTGTTATCATTATCCACATTGGGTATTGAATTGTATGATTGGAAATCTATTAGGCAACACTCATAACTACTATTTCCCAATTCAATTGGGGGTAAATATGTTGAATGTAGAATTGGAGATTTACCGGACACAGTAAACGTTCTTGACATTGCAAAATTCTTTGTCGTAATAATTGAAACACAAAATATGCATACGTATATATGGGTTTTTATTTATTTAAATATATGCTTGTATATTGTATATCTACATATTAAGATTATATGATATGATTCTTATCTATCCATGAATTATGTTTGTCTGAGAATCCCAGCCACTTAACCAAGACTTTATTACCTTTTGTTTTTAAAATTTTCTCAACTAAATACGTGTTGGGATATTTTGTGGGTAAAAGTTCTTCTTTGTAGAAACATCCTTGGATGGGATTTCCTTCATAGTCTTCTAATAAATAAGTAGCGGGGTTTGTTATTCTTATTGTTCTTATCTTGAATATTTCCGTAGTCCAATTTGGCGTGTATCCCTTTTCAAATTGATGTTTATATTTGCTAATGCGTACATGATCACCCACACGAAAGTTTTGTCTCCTAAAAATTTTTAAGTGGTTATAAGCAGATTGCAACAATGCCTTCTCATTCGATGAATTTACTTGAATAGGGGCCATTTTTATTGTTCGATGAGGTGTTTTATTGTATTGTTTAACCAATTCTCTATAAACGTCAATCCATAGATAATTCCCATTATAACTGAACTCCTTCCACATTAGCGACTTCAAAGTTCTATTAAAACGCTCAACAATTGAGGCCTTCAATACACTATATGTGGAGTAGTGGTTTATGGAATATTTCTGCATTAGTTTTTTAAAATCTGTGTTGAAAAATTCTTTTCCATCATCGGTTTGCAAATTTTTTGGAATTCTTCCTCTTTGTAAGATTTTTTCAAAAGCCATAGAAACATCCGTTGCCGTTTTTGTTTTAAGGGCTTCACACCATGCGAATTTCGAAAATGTATCGATGACAGTTAACAAAAATCGGAACCCCTTGTTTGCTTTTGAGTAACTGCCCATTTCAACTAAATCTGCTTGCCAGAGATCATCAATACCCTTTGTAATAACCCTTCGTCTAGGAAAGTTTTTTCGTGCTTGATGATGAAGTTCATTTACCAAACCCCGCTTTTCCATTGTTTTATTCGGTATGATATATTAAAGCTGGTGAGTTGAATGGAGCTTGCGATAAGGCTTTAAATATTTCGTTTTGTGAACGTTTGAGTTGTGATATTTCTTCTCTTAGGAAGGTGCACTCTTGAATGAATTTTTTCTTTAAAATTTCTTGAATGTGCTTGATTTGCGTATGTACGTATGCTTGGTTGACCGCATCCGCTCCTTCTGCTGGAGATGCAACATTCCTAATCTTTTTATTTTGCACGTTAAGGTTGTTATCTTCATCAATATTGACTCCCAATAATCTCGAAACATTTTCTCTCACTGCTATTGATTGATTTTTTTGATTGTAATGATGTCCAAACTTGTCAACAGTCATATGTTGTATGCTCCTTGAGAGTATTATTTAATATATTATATTTCCTTCTCGCAGTTCCTCGATAATAGAAACAATTTCATTAGTATGGTTATTGTTTCCGGCTTGTTGTGATGCCAACAACAGCTTTAATCGTTCTATCAATTCGTTGGGATCGTCCCAGTATATATAGTTGGGTTTACCAGGATTTATTGTCAGTAAGCCTTTGCCGCTGTGAGTATCCTCTATTATATTTTTTATTATTTTCTTATATTTTTGTCCCCTGTTGGACTTTGTTCGTCCATTAGATTCATAGTTTATTTATGCGCATTTGTGTCTAATAATATTGTTTTGTAAATATCGAGTTCTGTATGATCATAGTTCTTGGGGTCTTGATAAAACAACAGTTCAAACAAACCGGGTGTTAATGCCCAATTTTTATTTCCAATCATAATCTTTTCATTGCTTATTTTGAGTGGTTGGTCCCCAAATCTCCATTCTCCATTGTTATCTTTGTGTGGACCATAGACTACATCTAGTTTTTTAATTTTCTTCAAGAATGATAGATTCATAGGTTCCTCATTGTTGGAATAAAATTTGTCGTCGTCTTGTGATGTATTAAAGGAATCGAAATTTTGTGTGTAATCTACTTTATGCTTTAACCCCTCCAATGCATTGGAATCTAACTTAACATCTGGTTTATAATTCTTAAGGGGTGTACTTGTAATAATAGAATCTCTGTACATTTCCATTTTCTCTTTCTTAGGCATAATCATTTTGGAAGTATTTTCAGTTGAAAGCTTTAGTAGTTTGTTTATTGGCTCCGTTATTGGTTTGAAAGTATTTTTCAATTCTGTAGTTTTAGCTTCTTCACCCATTTTAATGCTTTGAAATTTCTTTTTCAAGACATTTCTGGACTTAACAAGCCGTTTCAGCATTTCCTCCTCCATGGCTGTAGGTGCACTAATATAAATTAACATTTGCAAATACTTTAAATAATATTAAGGTTGAATAAATATATGAAAGCCTTTTCTGTATCTTCCAGAGTGAATTTCGTCATCCTTGGAAATCGTTAGAAATCCATACTTTTCCTTCCAGCATTCATGACAAATTTTTTGAAATCTTCAAAACTAATGTCACATCCGACGTGATCATTAAATATATGTCTTAAATTCAGATCATCTTGTTTAAACACGATTATAAAATTCGCATTATCACGCAATAAATGTTTTGGTATACGTGTGTATGTTTGACACAAATAAAACGAATCAACATTCTTATGTCGCCCCATACTGAAGTAATTTTTAATGTTGTTTTGTTTATCGCATGCAACATCATCAAAAATCATGATTGAGTTTGGCTTTATTTCGTCCGTTTGTATAACATCGTCATTGTTATTAAATGTATACAATCTCATCCCCTTTATAGTGGATATCAGTTTCTTTAGGTACTCATATTTTGTCTGATATAGCGATTTTGAGTAAATGTAAACATTTTCAAATTTTAATCCATTGGGGCTTTCTATCAAACTAAGCATCACATTAGTCTTTCCACAATTTGATGGTCCTACTATTAAGGCTCGTATAGAATCAGGCAGCAAAGTACTATGTCGAGGGGTCTTTCTTTGCATAAAATCCACATTTTTAACAATTATTTTAGCTTGTTGTTCCATTAATCTCATGATTTAAACTAATGAGTTTTAAGAAAACATTCATATTTATAATATAATCAAATATCAATATTTCTTTCGTTCAGCGTCCCGCTAAAAAGTATAAAATGATTGTTTACAACACGAAGCGATTTATTAGAAAGAAACACGTTCAAGGAGGAGGACTGGTAAATAAGTTGATTAACTCTTTACCCGTTGAACTTCATTTACCAGGATATCAATTTTGTGGACCTGGAACAAAGCTAGAAAAACGTATTCAAAGAGGAGATCAAGGTATTAATCCATTAGATGCAGCGTGTAGAGCACACGATATTGCCTATTCACAAAATAAAGATATTGAACAACGTCACATTGCTGATCGTGAACTAACTGAACGGGCTTGGGAGCGAGTAAAATCGAAAAATAGTAACATTGGAGAAAAAATTAGCGCATATCTTGTAACTAACATAATGAAGGCTAAGACAAAGCTAGGCATGGGTAATAAAAACCCCAAACAAATATTGGGTCAACAACTTTTTAAAAACGCTTTAAAAAAAGCTACAAGTTCCCTTAAAAGCAAAAAACCAACTGATATTGATGAAGCCATAAAAATAGCCAGACATGAAATACAAAAGACGTTTCGAGGAAAAAAATCAAAGGTCGCTATACCGCGAGTAATAAGCGTGCCCAAAAGAGGTGGATTTCTTCCTCTCATTCCCATTCTAACTGGATTAGGAGCATTGGGAGCCTTAGCATCGGGTAGTTCAGCAATTACCAATGCCGTTTTAAATGCAAAAAAAGCCAAACAAGAGTTGGATGAACAAACCAGACATAACAAAACAATAGAAGCTATAGCTATGGGTAAAGGTCTCTATCTCAAACCATATAAAAAGGGCTATGGAATTTATGTTGATGAAAATAAAACTCCAAAAAACTAATTAAGCAGCTACCCAAAGGTCCTCTAACCGATGTAAATATTAGTTTTTTTGGGAAAAAATATATACCTCACTTTAGAGGTGTTTATATGCGTGATAATCTACCTAAGAAACCACATCGAATTGAATGTGGTATCATAAATTTGGATGTTAGCAGTGGACCTGGCACGCATTGGGTGGCATATAATAAAATCAATAATAATATCGACTATTACGACAGTTTCGGTAATCTTCAACCCCCGATAGAAGTTTTACGCTATTTGGGACCAGCTATTACATACAATTATAAAAGAGATCAACGATTTCATACATACAATTGTGGACATCTTTGTTTAAAGTTTTTATTGGACATGAACAAAATTTTATAAATACTCCAACATCGATGATATCCCCTCCATTCAAATTCAACTTTCCTAAGAAGATGATTGAAATCAATAGATCGGATATTGCACTGGTTGATTTTCAATATTGCCATGGAAACCACAAGAGTATTTTCGTGAAGGAACTATCATATATGTGTGGTGCTTCTGTTGTTCCAGATTATTTTTTGTTTCGTCCACCTTTTAATATAAAAGAACTTACTGGGGAAGCATGCAGAACAAATGCCTACACCAAGACACATGTGAATGGCTTAGATTGGACAGATGGAGAAAAAAATTATAATGATGTCGAGAAAGCTCTTACACCATTGAACAATTATCAATATATTTTTGTTGTTGGACAAGAAAAGAAAATCTTTTTACAGAAATATATTCATTCTACCATTATAAATTTAGAAAATAATATGAAACTTCGAGCTTGCCAAAATTATTTTACAAACTGTCCTATACATTTGGACACTAGATTTAAGTGTGCCGTAAATAATATATTTAAGATATTTGTATTCATTGAACAAAACTGGAAAGAACTTGGCTACATACTAGACGATGAAATTAATAAAGTTAATAAATAAAAACAAGCAACTGTATTATTTGCATAAAACTTTATTTAAAGCATTAAAGGTAATGAAAGTGAACAATAATAAGAAAATGGGTGAACATTTACTCGCTCCACGACCACAAACATCTACACCAATTTCAGAAGGTGTACAATTCCAATTTTTTGAAATAGTTGGGACATTAGTTGTTTCACGCCCTTCCAGTAATGGGCAACGATATGTCAACCTTGAATGCTCAGTAACAGGACAATCAGTTTGATCCCAACTATGAATGTTTACTTTACAAAAATAACATCTGGTAATATCTCCTACTCCAGTATAATAAAGTCCTACTGCAGCCATTGTCTTGGGATCTGGATAATTTAAAGGCCAGCGAGCAAAGGTTTTTAAGCGTTCGTCTTCCTTATTAAGAAGAGACATCTTCCTTTCTAAAGCTTCACTAATAAACTGAAATATTTCTCTGCACACATTAAAATGAAAACAGCTTGCAATTTTTAGTTTCAAACAAAATATTTATTTACTTTTCAGTTTATGTTAAATATGGTTGATAAAAATAATCTGGTTGATCCAAATGTTTTAATTCTAGTTTGTAAAGACTCTTTCCGCTTCCATCTTTCAACACAGTTTTCGTCACAGAATAACCCCCACCAGCTATTTCTTTTATGTATTCATCCGCCAGCGAGAGGAATCTTGACGGCAAATAGAGGATAGCATCATTAATTTTCAGCACAATTCTTTCCCCATATTTTGTATTTGTTCTAAAGGCGCCATGGATGTTGTATTCTTTGTTATCCTCCATTTCTTTCAAAGTTATTATTTTTTTATAACTGAAAGAATTGAATAAGTTTATTAAATCTGCGTTCGCCATAATATCACGTTCAATGTTTAATTTTATACTGTGAGCCTTACTTGAAATTGTCTTCTATATATACGAATATTTAACGCGAATTTCACAATATTACAGAGTTACTAGAGTTTTTAATTTTGAGCATAGTTAAGCATGTTCTCATTCATGCTCCAATCTATCGTTGAAGCAGAATTTGTCATGAAACTCTGCAACAACGCTTCCCCCCAAATTCTCATATCCATTTCACAGAAATCCAATTGTTAGTTAATGTAAACAATGGTGTTTCCTTCTTCAAATCCCTTCAATCTTCAATACCGAATTGATGCAGGGTTTGTCATGAAACTCTTTCAGTTTCAATTCTCTCAAATTGCTACATAATGTAAACAAATTCTTCATCGACAAAACTATCAAAAAGCGATCGATATAATGTACCAAAATGCCTGTCCACACAAGAAGAATTTGCTTTGATTGGCTACAGCAGCATTTTTTTAGTGTGTATATGCTACAACATTAATTGGTGGTTAGATGTCGCCTATATCGTTTCGAGGGAAATGACTGGAGAGCCATCTGGACAAAATAATAGAACACACATCTTCTTGTTGACTATGATACTAACCAAATTTGTCTCTGCTATATTCACTTCTCATATGGTGGATCTCTCTAATCCCATTTGATATGATCATATTTCAATAGTTTTGGAGTGTGTCTATGCTACAACATAATTTATGGATAGTATAGATAGAACTCACCGTTAGATGTCGCCTATATCGTTTCGATGGGAATAACTGAACATTTTTGAGTCGCTAAAATTATAGACAAATTAAAACAAGTACAACGAAAAGTTAGTTTTGTCTTTTTATCTCATCATGTTTTGCATAGCCAACATGCTGATTTTCGTGTTCAACCCACTCGACTTCGTTATCGTTTTTCAAGAATTTCACTTGATTATTCCGGAATTTTTCGATGTCATTTCTTTGTCTATATTTTCATTTATATTTTCATCTATGCTGAAATTAAAACCCCTGAAATATCAATAATTGCAGCATATTTGTCAATTGAAACTCTTCTATAATATATCACATTTATTGAAGTCGATTTCTTGAAATATATGTTTTCAAATAAATTAATAAGCACATTTGACTGCAGTAATCAGCATGTTGACTATGTAAAAGCATTCTGAGAGCCATCTAGATAAAATGATTTTCTTCGATACTTACCTCTTTCAGATGTGTTTCTGCTATATTCACTTCTCACATGTTGAATCTCTTTAGCCCCACTCGATATGATCATAATACATTTTTTTTTTCGGAGGGTGTCTCTGCTAGTGGTGAATATTAAAACTTGAAATTTCACCATCCCATACACAGTTTTGGATTGTGTCTGCGCTAAACTTAGCGCCATCTAGTAGTTCATATTAAAACTAGCAACGCCAACGCCAACAGCCCCAATAAAATTTGACGTGGTACAATTCAAAAGACAACATCCCCAATATAATTTGCCGTGGTACAATTCAAACGACAACATCCCCAATATAATTCACCGTGGTACATTTCAAAAGACAACATCCCCAATATATTTCACCGTGGTACATTTCAAAAGACAACATCCCCAATATATTTCACCGTGCTGAATTTCCCCCAATCAACATCCCCAATAGAATTTGCCGTGGTACAATTCCCAAGACAACATCCCCAATATATTTCACCGTGGAGAATTTACCCTAATCAACATCCCCAATAGAATTTGCCGTGGTACAATTCCCAAGACAACATCCCCATTAAAATTCACCGTGGTGAATTTACCCAAATCAACATCCCCAATAGAATTTGCCGTGATAAATCGTGGTGAATTCCCAACATCCCCATAAGCACACTACTGTGGATTTTTTAAAGAATTTTTAACAAGGACCTTTAGACCAATAAACGTGGATTTTTTAAAGAATTTTTAACAATAAACGTGGATTTTTTAAAGAATTTTTAACAATAAACGTGGATTTTTTAAAGAATTTTTAACAAGGACCTTTAGACCAATAAACGTGGATTTTTTAAAGAATTTTTAACAATAAACGTGGATTTTTTAAAGAATTTTTAACAAGGACCTTTAGACCAATAAACGTGGATTTTTTAAAGAATTTTTAACAATAAACGTGGATTTTTTAAAGAATTTTTAACAAGGACCTTTAGACCAATAAACGTGGATTTTTTAAAGAATTTTTAACAATAAACGTGGATTTTTTAAAGAATTTTTAACAATAAACGTGGATTTTTTAAAGAATTTTTAACAATAAACGTGGATTTTTTAAAGAATTTTTAACAATAAACGTGGATTTTTTAAAGAATTTTTAACAAGGACCTTTAGACCAATAAACGTGGATTTTTTAAAGAATTTTTAACAATAAACGTGGATTTTTTAAAGAATTTTTAACAATAAACTTGGATTTTTTAAAGAATTTTTAACAATAAACGTGGATTTTTTAAAGAATTTTTAACAATAAACTTGGATTTTTTAAAGAATTTTTAACAATAAACGTGGATTTTTTAAAGAATTTTTAACAAGGACCTTTAGACCAATAAACGTGGATTTTTTAAAGAATTTTTAACAAGGACTTTTAGACCAATAAACGTGGATTTTTTAAAGAATTTTTAACAAGGACCAAAAGACCAATAAACGTGGATTTTTTAAAGAATTTTT